TGGGCTCAGCTCAAGTGGACACAGACTGGGAAACGCAGCAGGCCACCGGGAGCCCGTGCTTGCTGTCCCCTTCTCTGTGGACCTGGGTTGCCTCGGGGATCCCCCCTCGCACCCCGAGGAGGAGCTGCAGCCTCCCTTTTGTAGCCCACCCTGGGTGCCAGGCGTGTGTCCAGGGATATGGCAGCAGCTTCCTGCCCGTGTGCTGGCTCACGGACACTTAGGGGCCCGTGTGAACACCTGAGCAGCCTGGCTTACCTCACCCGCAGTGTGCACCTGCCCCGTGGGGCCAGGGCAGCAGGTCCGGGGCCTCGGTCCTCAGTCCCTGGGGGGGAGCCACAGCCAAGGAGAGCCAGGCAGAGCTGCCTGTGACTTGGCCAGCTCCTCGGGCCACCTGGGGCGGGTCTGCTCCAAGCTTGCCTAGCTGCCCTGTGGGCTTCAGGCACCAGGGGGGAGGAGCTGTGGAGGAGGTGTGGGCGGGCTCTGCCGGCTCCAGATGTCCACCCCGGGAGTGGACGCCAGCACTCAGCAAGCCTAAATGTTTTCAGAAGGTTTGCTGAGCTCTGGCCTCTCCCCTGGTCCACTGCGACCAAGCTTGGCCTGGACAGCTATTCCCGGAGGGCAGCCTGGGCCATTGTGCTGACCTTGGCCTGAGCTTCAGGGTCTCCACTTGAGGCCGTGTCTCTAGCTCTGGTGAGGCGGTCAGGAGCAGGAGTGACTCGGTTCCCAGGAACCCCTCCATGTCCTACCCAGGGGTTCCAGGCTAGCTGGGGCCTCACCTTGACCACCAGCAGCGGGCGGCTGCCTCTCCGCAGGGCCCTCTGTTCCTACTTACAGAGTAGGTGATGGTTGGAGCTTCGGTCTGAGGAGTGTCCTGTGCAGCACAGGCCACTGCCGTCCCCTGTGGGTTTCCCTTCTGGAAGAGCTTTGTCTTTCAGCCCTGGGGGTCCCTGGGTGGGACTGGGGTGGTATGTGCCATCAAAACAGAGGCTGACCAGTCACCTGGACCCACGCCTGCCCCCTGCTGATTCTGTTGGAGGACAGGTTGGTCCTGGCCTCCACAGGAGGACACCCCAGGAAGATGCCCCCTCTGTTCTGCTCTCGGGGCGGTCCCAGGCACCCCACCTCGAGGGCCTCGCGTGGGTGTCGTCGGAGTCACGGGCTGCCGCTGTGTCTGTGGACGGTCCTGCCTTCGCCTGCTGCCTGCCCTGCCCTGCCAGGAGGCCTCCCCCCTGTGGCCCTTGCCTGCGGTGGCTCCGGGCTCTGAGCCTGCGGCGTCACTGCATGGTGAGGGTCCCTGCAGTCCAGGAGCTGTCGGAACTCAAGGAGGGCCTTCCTCCTGGGTTGGCGTGGTCCTTGTCGGGTGATGGGGTTCCTTGGGTCTGCGGGACTTGAGGGGGCTGTCCCTTTGGCCTGGATGCCACTCCCTCGTACCCCAGCCCCAGTGCCTGGGTGTTCTCTGCCCACTGAGTCCTCGAGCTCGCCAGGACGGAGCCTCTGCCCAGGGGCCTGCTGCTAGTGGCCGCTGTTGGCTCTGGTGCTGTTGCCTCCATACGTGTGGTGTGGGCCTGCCACCTGTGTTTCCCCCGCAGCTGAAGAAGGAAGCAGGCCCGAGGCATTCTGAAGCCATCCGTCCGACGCCCCTTCTTTATGTCTCTGCTCCCAGTACCCCACAGCCCCAGCTGGTCTCCAGACTCGGGGTGTGGGGTCATTCAGGAAAGGCCTCAGGGCCAGGCATCCAGGGAGCCAGCCTGGAGGCCACGGGCGGGAGGTGCTGGAGGTGGCCAGGCTGCCTGTGTGCCGAGCGCCATGGCTGCTGCTGAGGGCTGTCCTTCCACAGCTCCGCTGCCAGCAGTGGGCGCTGACGCGCTTCTCTGTGCCATCCTCAGGGCCACATGGTATGGGGAATGTGGCTGTGAGCAGGGCTGACCTGAGTCCTCTGGGTGAGCTCAGCCAGGTGGATGTGGTCACCGAGACGTCTGCGTCTGCACTCCATGAGGCTGCAGGGGCCTTGGGGCTGGGATGGACGGCCACCCTGGCCAGGGCCCTGCTGGCTGAGAAAGTAGCCCCTGGTCTTCGGGGCTGCCCCAGGGCCCCTGGAGCGCAGCTCAGGTGTTCCCAGGCACTGCTCACTAGGTGGCCATGCAGGAGTGTCGCAGGCTCCTGGCCCAGTGCCGTGCCTACCAGAGCACCGTGGGGCTGGGCAGAGGCGCTCCTCGGAGACACCCTCAGATTTGGGCTGTGCCCGGGCCCCACCTGCCTGGCTCCTCCCCGCCCCCTGTCCCCAGCTGGCCGCGCTGGTGGTCCTCTTGCTCTCATTGTCCAGCCCAGCGGCCATGTGCCAGGCAGTGCTCTGTGCACCACACAGCCTGCGCCGGGCAGGGGGCAGCATCTGGGCTCCTGGACCTCAGGGGCTCATGGGCACCCCGATGTGGACCAGCAGGCTGGAGGGTTCAGAGAGAGCAGGCTCCTCGAATGGCCCCGTGAAACCTGAACAGCTGTGTGGGAAAAGGACCTGTCCCCAAAGCACAGGCTGCACCTCCCAGGGGGCAGGGAGCGTCCCCTTGGCCCCATGGTGGGGGCAGAGGTGCCTTGGGGAAGGAACAGGGACCCGGTGTCTGCAGGCAGCGGATCTCTGCTTCCCGGAGCTCTTCCATCTTGTGTTTCGAGTGTCGCCTGCACCAGCGCCAGGAGGACAGCAGGGGGGCACGCAGCGTTGGTGCCAGGAGGGGGAGGCCGGGGGGGAGACTCCTGTCTCCTGTCCCTGCCTGGCGCAGGTGGGCAGCAGGAATGGGGGAGACCTGAGGTGGAGGGAGGAGCCTGAGCAGACACACGGACCTGTGGCCCAGACCCCA